CGGCTCTCCCACTGGTCTTGGTGAGAACGACTCTCCCACTTGTCTTTCTTCCATACTAAGTCATTTTGAGATGGTTTTATCTGCTTGGGGTGAAAACCGACCCCAACAGTTAGCCCCCCAGCTCGTCAGTTTCGGAGGCGAGAGTGACGAGGTCCATTACTCCTGACCGTAGGATAAACCATCGAGTCAACTATTATGACGTAAGCCCAGATGAGGTGTTTTGGGAATGAAGATGCCGAGGCGTTCCCAAGGAGTGCCAAGGGTGCCGAGGTGTTTCGAAAAGGTACCGAAGATGCTGAGGCAAGTTAAGGACGAGGCGATTTCGTTTGGTAATGATGACCCGAGGCGATTTCGTTTAGTAATGATGAGCCGAGGCGAGGCAATTTGAGAAGGTTATGCCGAGCCGAATAAATGGCGAGGCGTTTCGAGAGAAAGTTCATGCCGAGCCGTTTTGTTAACGACGAGGCGTTTCGAGAGAAAGTTCGTGCCGAGCCGTTTCGTTAACGACGAGGCGTTTTGAGAGAAAGAGTTAATGCCGAGCAGTTTTGTTAACGACGAGGCGTTTCAAGAGAGAGTTCGTGCTGAGCCGTTTTGTTAACGACGAGGCGTTTCAAGAGAGAGTTAATGCCGAGCCGTTTCGTTAACGACAAGGCATTTCAAGAGAGAGTTAATGCCGAGCCGTTTCGTTAACGACGAGGCGTTTCAAGAGAGAGAGCTAATGCCAAGCCGTTTCGTTAACGACGAGGCGTTTCAAGAGAGAGTTAATGCCGAGCTGTTTTGGCAGAAGTTGTGCCGAGGCGTTCTGGTGTAGGCAACACCGAGCCGCGTTCAAGGGTGTCGGCGAGGCGTTTTTGTTAGTAACGCCGAGCCGTGTTTCGCGGTGCGACAGTCTACGTTAATGACGCCGAGCCATGTATCAAGGTAGCGACGAGGCATCTGTGTAAATAATGCCGAGCCGTGTTTCAGGGTAATGACGAGACTTTTTTCTAAGAAAGTTGTCGAGCCGTGTTTTCAAGATAATGACGAGGCGTTTACGTCAGTAATGCCGAGCCGTGTTTCAAGGTAACGACGAGGCGTTTATTTGTCAGTAATGCCGAGTAGTGTTTCAAGGTAACGACGAGGCGTTTATGTGTCAGTAATGCCGAGCCGTGTTTCAAGGTAACGACGAGGCGTTTATGTGTCAATAATGCCGAGCCGTGTTTCAAGGTAACGACGAGGCATTTGTTCTAAGAGAGTTGCCGAGCCATTTCGCATCAACGATAACGACGAGGCGTTGTTATGAAATTGTCGAGCCGTGACGACAAAGCACGGCTCGGTTCACACAGCTTGATGAGATATCCTTGGGAAAGAGTGTAAGCGAGGCGATTTGATAACGGGGATAGGCGAACTGTTTTTCCCGGAGTTTTTTTTTTTTTTTTTAAATGACAAGGTGTTTTTGTGAAAACGTCGAGCCGAATAAACGACGAACCGTTTTGCGAAAACTGTGCCAAGCCGAATAAGCGACGAGGCGTTTTGCGAAAACTGTGCCGTTCTTAATGTAAGACGCCCATAGTGCTGCGGTGCGCAGAAAGACTAATACTAAAGCTTTTCCAGAAAATACAATGCTGAGGCGTGTTAGATATTGTCGGGAGAGAGTGTTACGCCGACGCACGTGATCTAGATACGGCTTGTTACTGGATTAAGTCAGGAGATGCCAAACCAACAAGGTCAAAAGATGCATAGACGACAAGGCAAGACAGTGCCTAGAAGATGAGCCAAGACGATGGCTAGGAGACAAGGCAAGGGGATGCCTAGGCGACGAGGCAGGAGGACGCCTAGCCAACGAGCCGAGATGATGGCTAGGCGATAATATAAGAGGATGCCTAGCTGCCTAGCCGAGTTAACGGCTAGGTGACAAGGCAAGAGGATGCCTAGGCGACGAGGTAAGATGATGCCTAGGCAACAAGCCAAGATGACGCCTAGCCAACGAGCCGAGATGATGGCTAGGCGACAATGCAAGAGGATGCCTAGCTGCCGAGCCGAGTTAACGGCTAGGCGACAAGCCAAGAGGATGCCTAGCTGCTGAGCCGAGTTAACGGCTAGGTGACAAGGCAAGAGGATGCCTAGGGGACGAGGTAAGATGATGCCTAGGCAACAAGCCAAGATGACGCCTAGCCGACGAGCCGAGATGATGGCTAGGCGACTATGCAAGAGGATGCCTAGCTGCCGAGCCGAGTTAACGGCTAGGCGACAAGGCAAGAGGATGCCTAGCTGCCGAGCCGAGTTAACGGCTAGGTGACAAGGCAAGAGGATGTCTAGCTGCCGAGCCGA